GTATTGTTGACTCTTTAACCAAGGAAGCGGCTGGACTGAGAATTTTAGGACCCAGTGACACCTACGGCCTGATGACTTTGGCAATTGCGAAACCAGTCAAATTTCACACCCATGCTCAATCCCTAAAGAGATGGGATGGAATCAAAGGATGCAATCTTGCCAGGATCACTCTGGGTGACCCCGGAATGCTAGCGCCGAAGAAATATCTGGCATTGACACAAAAAAATCTACGCTTGAGAGTAGGATTTCTGACCGGCCACTGTCAACTGAGGAAACGCCTTCATGATATGGGGCGAGTGGACACACTTCTATGCAGGATGTGTGAACAGAAAGATGAAACTGTCAGGCATGTCCTATGCGAGTGTCCGGAGTTATCGTCAATGAGAGAGTGTGTGTTAGGCGAGTCTTGGCCTACACCTGCCTATATAAAGAAGAAATCTTCCAGTGACCTGTCGACCTTCCTGGAAAGAAGATGATGAACGATGACCTAGGAGGACATCTCCTCGAGAGGATGTACAATGGGTCACATGAGGCCTAAGTACTGTGGGCCTACACTCACCCTCTCTCATCTACAGGTACAGATACATGATGCATTTCACGATATGAATGAAAGTAGCTGCTTTCAGTTTTTTACTTTCGAATACTGGTCGACAATTTTCTTGATAATCCAATTAGAAAAGAAGTCTGAGTACCCTTTTTATGTTATAAATCCATCGATTGAGGTTTGAATTGATCATGACAAAATAAAGGCTGAGTAGAGCGGATTCAACTAAACTTCATAGCAACTGTTTTATAGCATGGTACGCTCCATTCGAAGGACATAAATGAACTTATATTTCATCAGTTCGGATTTCCATTGTCTAATATAATATGAATTGATATGAAAACCCTAAAAAACAATTAAAAAATTAACAAGATTAACCGTAAATGACAATTCTGTTAAACGAAAAACTGAAATTACAAAGAAATAACATACAAGCAACAACCAAACAAGTAAAGATTGAAATATTAATGAAGACTTAAAAATAAAAATTAACAATTATTATTAACAAATATTTAAAATGAAAATTGAAAGATTTCAAACCAAGTTATGTCACGACGTTTCGATTGTCTTCGGGTGACAACTGGACTCATTCCTCCGAAATCTAACTATTTATAGGTCGAGTGCTTTCACCTATCCCCTCTTCACTTTTTCCGCTTCATCGGTTTTTAGCGGGAGATGATCGTTTGGCGGGAATTGGTCGTTTTTCGCTTGATTAGAGGTTTCCATATGTTACGTATCTCTACGCTAGCTTGACTAAATGCGTTGTTGGATAAAAATATACGCGGCTTCTTTGAATTTCCCCTAAACCAGTGTTCCTCTTTGTGGATGATTTCAGCTTGAGCCCACTTGATGTAATGTTGATGAGTCCAAACATGCTGCCTGAT